GCGAGTATATAACAAACTCTGTATTTTGAGTGGAAATGTTAGGGGGTCGTCTTATACGCCCAGTCGTCTTATACGCCGGCAAATATGGTAAATATTTAATTCATCTTGACTCTATGGCATGAAAAAGAAGACCTAAATTGTTTTCTAAATGGTCAGTCATTTGTTCCAATAGCACTTACAAAATTCTTTCTTCACTGTCTTAAAATTCTACCTTTTTCAGGGTCATATTTTTACATGTGCACGGGATTGTTTCTGGATTTTGTAATGTGTTCCCTTTTTCTGTCTGTGATATCCTGCATCAGCACTCAATGTTTCGTTTTAATATAACTTTGGTACACTAACCATTGTCATACACAATAGGGCAATATTTTCATCATTACTCTTCCTTTTTAATATTTTCAAGGCTATTGTTATACAATTTTTTTAGATAGATAAATTAAAAAAAAATCCTGTTGGGAAGTTGACTGAATGTATATTAAATTTATAGCTTACTTTAGGGAGAATGGTCTTTATATCCAGACATATGATATGTCTTTTAATTTATCCTAGTCTTATTTTATGCCTCTCAGTAGATTTGTATAGCTTTATTAATACAAGTTTTATACTTTTCTTTAGTTTATTTCCAGTTATTACATATATTTTTATTCCTATTATGAATGGGACCTTGTTTCTCATTATATTTTCTAAGCTGGTTATTCCTGGAATAGAGAAAAGCTACTACTTTTTGTATACAGATAGATGGTCCCCAACTTACGATGGTTTGACTATGATGGTGCAATTCAGTAAAAACATTCAGTAAAAACCATACTTTGAATTCTGAACTTTTCCCAGGCTATCAATATGTGGTATGATACTCTCTCATGATGCTGGGCAGTGGCAGTGAGCCGCAGCCCCCAGTTAGCCATGCAAATCAGGAGTATAAACAACCGATATGCTACTGTGTTGCCAGCGTTTTTTAGATAATGTGTTTTTACATCTCATGTCTACAAAATGCCCATCAGTGTCTCCTGCTTCTGGTGAGGAGAAGGAGGCAATGACTCTTGAGATGAAACCTCAAGATAACTGCCCAGCTGTAGGCTAATGTTAAGTGTTCTGAACACATATGAGGTAGGCTAGGCTAAGCTATGAGGTTCAGTAGGTTCGGTTGATTAAATGCATTTTGATTTACGATATTTTCAATTTACAACAGGTTTATCAGAACATAACCCCATTGTAAGCTGAGGAGCACCTGTATTTATTTTGGAGCATAACATGGAAAAAATTTTTTAGGGCAGGTATAACCAACTGCCTGCATACAAATCAATCTTAATAAAGCTCCCACAGAATACTCAGCTCTGAAGTGAGCACTCCAAGAAAAACTAGCTGCAAAATAATATACAAAACAGGCACTGAACATAGTGACTTTCTACATGGGTTTTTTACTTATATATCACCTAAAATAATTATAAAAAGTACATCTCACCAAATATAACTTCTGTTTTGGACTAGCTGACCTCTAGCTCATCTTTCTGACAACAAAACAGCAAACTGAGAAGTTGTCTCACAAGACCCTGCCCAAATGGGACAGTGTCCAAACTCTGTGCTTTAGAAGATGCACTCTTTATGTTTTCTAACATAACCAAAGGTGGTCTCAGGAACAAATTACAAATACGAGAAAACCTGGATAAATCCCTGATTTATTCAGCTAGAGTATAGGAACCAACTGCAAGAAGAGATTCTCTCAGACCTGTGACTGAGGTTCAATGATGAGCCACACTGTAGCTTACTGCACTGGCCAGTACTTGGCCCTACTGCAATAACCTGAGCCGGAGAGAATTAGATAGCAGGTTCTATATATGTCTGTATTGATAGTCAGGGGTAGATGTGAAGCCTCTGCAGCTCAGCCCATAGGGGACTGCTCTGCACCATGTCACTGATAAAACTGTAAACAAATCTATTACTAGTTGGATTTGATAAATGTGACTGCTAAAGAATACAGAAATGTGCTAGAATATGCATAAACTATTCCTGGAAGGATATCCAAGAAACTGATAACCTGAGTGGCTTTGGTGAGAGGACAAGGAACCTAGAAAGAATGGAGATATACACACACACACACACACACACACACACACACACACACACACACACACACCAAGAGTGCCAATAAAAATGTATAGATGTGGACACTTTGTGGGCAACATTGCTCAAGCAGTAGTTCGCCATAATCAGGTGTCTGGATGCTGATGGTAACCTCTTTGAGCACCTCTTGTAATCGCAGGAGTCAAATGTGACTTGTATTCATCTTTTGATATCGGTATATATTGATTACAATTTTAATACAGTTTTCCTTTCTTAAACTGTGTATACATATTTTTGGCACCCTCTGTGTGTATATGTGTGTGTGTGTGTGTGTGTGTGTGTGTATACACACATATATATGTATATATACATATATATGTTTTTGTATCTTGAATTTTTTGAATTGAAAGTAAAAAATCAGTGATGTATTTGACTAATATTTGTCTACATCTGCACATAAAAACTAGTAGGGACAATGGTATTAAAGGATTTAAAGGAAGAAGGCGTTAGCATTTGTCTGTCTGTATAGATTATAAGTAAAGAATTAAGCATACATTTCTTGCCATATCCAGAGTACACCAGTGAATGTCAAACTTAGGTCCCTTAGAAATCATCCAAAGTTTAGCAGAGGAACACTTCTTAAAACACTTCTTATATTCCTCTAGTCTAACTCTAAATTCACCAAAGTTATACACTGATTTTAATTGTTTTTCCTGTGTGACTTGTCTAATGAAAAGAGTGCAAAAATTTCACTCATGCTTAGTCAAAGTTCAAGTTCACCTAAAAATTCTATTTCTTATGACAAATCTATACATTGGCAGTCTTCTGGGCTTTGGTTAGCAGGATTTTCCTTGGGCCCTGGTTATCCCTGAGTAAAGGTAAGGTTGCATTTCTGTATGAGTAGAGGCCCAGAGCCAGGAAAGCAGCTTCTCGGGTGCAAATCCAGCACTGAAAAGCTCTGTGCCTGAATACCTAAGATGCCACTCCTGGATGATTCCACTACTTCACTTTTTTCCAAGTGCTCCAGTCTCTACCACTTATATTTCAGAAGTTTCCTCTGCACTTCCAGTCTTTTATAATCGTCTCTGGTATTTGGCTATTGGAAATTCTTCTAAGATATCAGAGTTCAAAATCTTTTATCTTCAAAAGACAGATGGCTAAGCAAGATAATTTGGCTGGTATGCTGTAAATATTTCCCTAAATGTATCTTCCCTCTATTATCTGAGTTGCAAAGTCTGAGGCCGTTCTTATCTTTTATTCTCCAAAGGACAGTTTTTCCTTCTTTCTAGTTTTACAAAACTGATAAGTAGGTATGTAGGTATACTGTCTTTAAGTGTCAAATCTGGAAAATAAGTACTCCACAAACCCTCAATCTATGGCAAAAGCCTATTTTTCTCTATAATTTCAAGTTTTCCTTTACTGAGGCCTCCTATTTGCACCCCCTCTTATTTAGAGGGGAGTTGCAGGGGCAAAAAAACTAGGTCTATAGGTTTTGTTATAACCTATTTGTCTAGTCCATCTGTACTTTAATCTGGATCTTTCCATTTAGCCTCAATTTTACTAACCACCCCATTATTTTGATGCCATTTTTTCCTTAAGGGATATTGTAAATTTCTTTATACTTTTTATCACAGTGCTTCAGGGTTTTTTTGTTTTTTAAATTCTACCAGTTTCTTTTAATAGTCTTTGTGTTTTTTATCCTTTTCAGCCCCACTATTGACAGTTTGGGTCCCCCCTCCCCATTTCTTCTATTCCCACTGCTTTCTCTGGGTTTGTGCACAGCTTTTCTTTTTGTTGGTATTGCTAAAGTTCTAAAATCAAGTCTGAGGTGCTATCTTTGTTTATCATAATTGAACTTTGTCTTCTTAAGCATTTTTTATTTCAGGTGTTTGTTACTTTGGTGGGCTTATTTTTACTCTGCCAAATTCCCAGAAATTATTCTGTGTTGGAGCCATCAAGACCATTTCTCTGTAATGATAAAGTCTCTATTTTCAGTTTAAATCACTCCATCAGGTCTTTATGAGACCTTGATAGTGGTGAGGAATTCAAATTTGAGGTCTCATATTCCCCTCTGACCCCTATCCCAGACACAACCATACATGCATTATAATTTCACAAATAATCTGCTTATTAGCATTTAACTACTGATTTGTATTTAATTTACAGTCTTGTGAGTAACTAAGGATGGAACTCTTAAGAGTATGGGTTGTAGGAAAAAGAATACAGAGAAATGCTGAGATAGAAGGAGGATGAAATGAAAGACAAGTTGTAAGGGAGGAAAATACCCTCAGGATGAACTTCACATCATAATTACACAAAGGTAGTGAAAAGAAGTAAGAAACAACGAGCAGTTCTCATCATCAACATGAAATTAAACCTTAGCTGTAATATAATATCTACTTAATTTTAGAAAAAAACTGACCCCTCTCCCCCAAATCCATGTTTTTTTCTCACAACAAAGGAAATAAAAATGCAATAGGAGAGCAATGCCTGTGTCACTCAAAACCATACTCTAATTACCTGCGTGTGTTTAATTTTCAACATCTCTCAAGTTTGATGAATGGGCCAGTGAGCCTCTTTCTTTAGAACCAGATCTTATTTTACATTAATGGCTCATCATCTCCTGGTTCTTGTACAGGTGGGCATAATAGACACCTGCAGAGCACAAAACAAATATAATTCTTAAATATTTGGTAAGTGCTTCCAGTTGCTGGAGAAAACAGTACTTATTGTTGGTGTAATGTTAATCTACTTATTTATTGGGCTAACTATAAACCTGAATCATAAAAAAAAATCTTCAGTATGAAATTTTTTGATAGGTATGTTATTTAAGGAATTGTTATATCTTTTCTGTTCCTTCAAGGAAACCAACCTGGTTGTAAAGAAGGACTTAAATTATCATTATTTGCAGATGATACTAAAATAAAAAAGAATACCATTAAAAGAACAAAAAATACTTGTTAATAAATATACACAATCTCCCTAAGAAAATATGAACGATACAAAAGATGAGTTTTTTTAGTTGTGAAAACTCAATAACATAAAGATGTCAATTTTCCTTAAATCTATAAATTTAATGCAGATAGAATAAAAAAAATGCTGACCGAGTTTTGCTTTTTCTGGAGGAAGGATGATGGTTATTAGAGAAGCTAATTTTAGTTCAATACGAAAAATGAAAATGAGACAATAGTTATAAATTTTCCAAAAAAGAAAAACTTGTGTTACTACCACATGAACTGACAGATAGATAACAGGACAGACTAGAGATATGGTAGTTAGTCATAGCTGCCGTTTACAAAATATTTTCAGCTTTCTATCTTCTGGGCACATGTATGACCGGACTTCCTGGCCCCCTAATAGTAGGCGGAGCTATGTGACGAATACTTGTCAGTGAGTTGTAAAGGGAATTGATGGATGTCATTTCCAGGTTGAACGTTTGATTGATGGTGTGAGACTCTGCAAGGCCCTCTTTCCCTTAGCCAGGACAACCAGCAATGTTCAAGATGATGGCCCTAAGTAAGTCTAAGTTTTTGAGTGAAAAAGCATGAAGCAGAGTCCCCAGCCAAACCTTGATGGACATGTACCAAAAGGAAAGAAATTTTTGTTGTCATAAGCCACTAAGATTTTGAGGTTGTTTGTTACTATGGAATAACCTATCCTATCCTATCCTAGTAGATACAAGAAAGTTGAAGAGCCCAAATTCATATGGGAAGCTAATTGGTCATAAAATTGGTATTACCCATTAGTGGGAGAAAGCACTCTCACACATTACTGAAACTGTCAGTTAGTAAAATTGTTAGCCTCCGTGAGAGCAACTTAGCAAAATTACACAGACTTACCACTGACCCAGCAAGTCCACATGTAGGAATTTATCTTTCAAATGTGCTTGCATGTGTACTCAAAGACAAATATGTACCAGGGTCTTCTTTTCAGACTTGCTTGTAATAGCAAAAGGTTGGAACAACCTAAATAATGTAACTGGTTAAAGCGCATATATCGCCATAAACTAATATTTTGCAGTTGTTAAAAAAAAGTTATAGATCTATTTATGTGCTGACTTGGCACAGTTCCCATGATAACACTGCTAAGTAAACAAAACAAAACCAACAGTACAGAACAGTATATGTGGCACGTTACCATTAATGTAAAAGGAATTAAGAAAGAAGCTAGCTTTGTATATGCCTAAAAAGTCTCTGTTAGGATACATCAAAACTGGTACCAGTGGTTGCCTTAACAGGGCTGGGAGGAGACTGACTTTTCACTGAGTACTTGTTTATAATACCTTTGGTATTTTTATAGCATGTGCACTATTACTTATTAAAGAGAATAAAATAAAAATTTAACTGTAAATGGAAATAGAAAAAAGTTCCCTGTGGTGTTTGTAAAGATTTGCAAGGATTTTCCAAATTTGGTTCTTATATAAAAGACTTGATTGAAAACCCTGGACTTTTTTGGGTAGACTTGGTGAGGAAAATTTTCCACAAGCATTAATAGATATTTCATAAATATCCTATAGCTATCTGTCTTCAATCAACATTTACTTAGGTTAGATAAGGTAATTATCTAATGATGATTTGATTTTAATTCCCCCTTACATAGTTTCTTCTCTGCATTGTGTAATATCTCTAGAACAACATTAAAAATGTTAATGGGCATTCTTGTCTTATTCCTAATCTAAGGAGATTGCTGTTTCATTGGTAAATATGACGTGTATAGCTTGACACACATTCACTTTCCCTCTCCTGTTCCCACTCCCCCCCATCCCCCATTTATTAAGGAAGTTTCCATCTATTCCTAATAAACTACTTTTTACTGAATTGGTAAATGCATTCTGTGAGGATAACAGAGATTTTACTCATTCATTTCACCAACTCAATAACAATCAGTCTTTTTAATAGTTCTCTTTATTCAAAGCTAAGCACTTGAGGGCTACTGATGAGCAGCTCTGACTTTACTAGAAGATCTTCTATTTCTTTGACATATTGTCATCTTGGCTTTAGATTGGGATTTTGGAAAAAGAACCTGACTGATCTATGTGAGGCTGTTTTAGTGAAGCAGCTACATCAATAGACAGTAGACAGAGCAACAAAAATAATTAAAAGCTAGTTGAGGCCACACAGCTGTTCTTCATCAGGCACTGAAGTCAGATCATTTAACCATCTGAAATATGAACTTAGAATCAACTTTATATCCTTCAGGTGTAAAATTAAATAAATAAAATTTCATCACAGTTGGTAGCACAACTTAAATATTTTGACTGGGGCCCATTTTCAATTAGTTATAGAATACTCTTGGGAACAAACTACAAGTTATAAATCTCATATAATTGGTAGATTGAACATATATCTTTCTAGGGTCTCTTCTGAAAATAATTCCATGGATTCCATTGATGGCTTTGGCTTTAAATTTCAGGAAAACTGATAAATATAGGGCTTTCATATTTGAAATTCTATTCCTAGTGTCATGACTTCCAAAGTAAAAGGGCTAGACACTGGCTTAAATATATAAAAATAATGTGCATGTAAAATCTCTATAGTAAATCAACTATAATGTTCACCTTATTGCTTTGTTGTACTGGTTCAAGTTCACACTGACTGCTTATGATAAAAGACTCAAAACGGGCCAGCCGAGTGGCTCAGCTGGTTAAGAGCGCGAGCTCTGAGCAACAGGTCACTGGTTTGATTCCCACCTGGGCCAGTGAGCTGTGCCTGAGCTGAGCTGCCAACAGGTGGCAGGAAGCCTCAGTTAGTGAGAGCATGTGCTTCTAACAACAAGGTTGCCAAGTTCGACTCCCGCATGGGATGGTGGGCTACGCCCACCTTCAACTAAGATTGAACACAGCACCTTGAGCTGAGCAGCTGAGAGCTGCCGTGCGGATGCTGACTGGACTTGGAGCTGAGCTAGCTGTGCCCTCTACAACTAAGACTGAAGGACAACAACTTGGCTGTTCCCTTCCCTAAGTCCCAACACTGTTCCCCTCCCTCAATTCCCCAATAAAATCTTAAAAAAAAAATTCAAAACATCATAAATATAGTTATAAATATATCACCTATGGATTCTGATTGCATTCAATGCAGCAATACAATTAATCTAGGAAAAAGCACCTAGGGAGAGCCAGCCTAAAGTAACAAACATACTTGTATAATCTCTGAAATCGGGTAATCTTCTTTTTTCTTCAAACAATTCTTTAGGATATTAATCAAAATAAACATTCTGCACAGTGTTTTAGAGTTTATGACTAACATTCACATATGTAAATTCCATTTAATCCTCATAATCACCATGGCGTGGGTATTATACTCCTCCATATTCAAATGAAGAAATTGAGACTCAGAAAGGTCAAGCTGGCTGCCAAAACTGAAACTACTAGTGAATGGTTGAAGAGGGACTGAAATCCATGACTCCAAATCCCCTACTCTTCCCATGAGATCCTGCTGCCTTCCATGGACCTTATGAGCTGGCACCAGACTGGAAGTGTCTGAATGATGCACAAGTGAAACAATTTCTGTCACTGCTTCCTGTGGACAGTGAGTGTGCTGATGTATCCTAGGTCATCTTCTTTGCCCTAAAGAGGCTCAAAAAAGGCCAATACCATGATTCCCAAACAATTTGGAACTGTGTGTGCGCATGTGCGCGCGCGTGAGTATTTAAAGTTTTAATTTTGAAATAATTTTAAATTTACAGAAAAGTTGTACGAGTTCCCATATCCATATACCTTTCACCTAACTTCCTCTAATGTTAAAATCTTACACAACCATAGTACAATAACAGGAAATCAACACTGGTACAATACTATTAACTAAACTGTAGACTTTATTTAAATTTCACCAGTTTTTCCACTAACGTTGTTTTCCTTTTCTAGAATCCAATTTAAGATCCCGCATCATATTTAGTTATGTCTCTTTAGTCTTCTCCAATCTGTGACACAGAACTGTGTCTTTTAAATTAAAATAAATAAAGGTTTATTTTATTCTGAAAATGTCATGGCATTTCTGGGAACAAACAGCTTTGAATACTGAAAACCCACCCTGGGAATTGGTGGGTCTATGTGATACCAAAAAAAAACATCCTGAGGTAAAGAGCCAGAGTGGCCTTAAAGACAGAAAAAAGAGCCACTCTTTAAATAAAGAGAAGAGCGAGCTGTGATAATCTACATAGGTCAACTGTATTTAAGACACCTGTCCATAATCAACACCTGTCCATAAAATAAATTAACAATCAGTTACAACTCCCTGGAAAAGCACAGGGTACCAGACAGAAATCAATACAACTCTGTTTAATGGAGCAGTCATGAAAGATTAATTTGCTTTTAAATTAAAGGACTTGGAGCTTTTTCAGTCTACTGACTGGGTGACTTGATAACTAAACTCAAGTATAACAAAAGGTTATTAGAAAGCACTACATTTCCTCTACATATGGACCCCTTTTTCTAAATTTTAGCAAAAAATGTTGCTGAGCTGTCAGTGATTCTAATTCAAACCCTGGACCCTTGAGAAAGTACAAAGCCTAGACCCTGTTCAAGTTATTCTATGAGAAGTGGTAAGAGGGTCCTTTATAAACCTCAGTAGGTTACCTCCCATTCTTGAGGGTTCTGGGTTGAGCACATTAATTCTAAGATTTTACTGGTGAATTCTCAATTACCAGAAAAGATACTG